AACAAACAACAAATGAAGACCTCATATGAAATTCTATATGGTTACAAGCCAACAGTTGCTCACTTCAGGATCTTTGGATGCCCTTGCACGCTACTTCACCTGGAATCAACTCCTACGTTCAATTCAAAAGCTGACGACTGCTATTTTGTGGGATATGCTGGAAGCACTGATTATCGAGTTTCCAACAAATCCACCAAACAAATCGTGGAGTAATTCGATGTGCGCTGGATGGAAGAGAATGCGACGGACGCTCAAGTTGGACTAGACTGGTTATTTGATTACACTTATTTGTTTAAATTATTTAATGTGTTTATAGATGATGTTTCAGGTTCATACTCAGGTTCGAGTGCAGCTGGTGAAGATGATGAGGAAGATGTTATCATTGGCTCATTCAAACCATCTGTGGTGATTCTTGAATCTCCTACGATGGATGCCGCTACACCAAGTACACCTCCTTTCTCACTGGTCCAAAAGTCTAGTTCCGACACCGAAGCCACTCCTCTTACTCCCGAAGAAGTTGAGATTCTCTCAAGGGAAAATATAACTGCCACACAAACTTTCATGGAATTTCTCATTCCAGATCCGTTCGCAAATGAATTTGTGGCAAGTACTTCTCATGATCACAGACCGTCTGAAGGGGGTGATTCAATAGCGGGCAGATTTGACAACATCACAAATCTTCTAGTCACAGTCAATGATATCAACCATCTAATCCCAACCAGTGTTTAACGCAATCATCCTATCCAGAACATTATTGGTCCACTAGAACACAGGGTTTAGACCAGAAGTCAAAGTAGATATGTCAATGAGTGTCTTTACTCGTGCTTCATATCCCAAATTGAACCAAAGAATGTGGACATGGATCTAAATGAACTGAGCTGGGTGGATGCAATGCATGAAGAGCTAAATCAGTTCGAGAAGTTGAAAGTATGGCAGTTGGTAGAGCTACCGAAGGGCAAGAAGTCTTTTGATACACGTTCGGTATTTAGAAATAGAGGGTCTTGACTACACCGAAGTGTATGCTGCTGTGGCACGTTTGGAAGCCATTCGTATATTCCTAGCATACGCTTACCACATGGGGTTTACGGTTTATCAAATGGATGTTAAGACAGCCTTTTTGTACGGAGTCGTGAAGGAGGAGATTTATGTTGATCAACCACCAGGGGTTGTCAATCCAAAGTTTCCAAATCATGTCTACAAACTGGACAAGGCTCTATATGGTTTGAATTAGGTTCCTAGAGCATGGTATGCTACCTTAACTGATCATCTGTTGGAGCATGGGTACACAAGGGGAACGATCGATCAGACGTTATTCATCAAGAAAGTGGATGCAGATTTGATTGTCGTCCAAATCTACATAGACGACATCAATTTTGGGTGGACCAGCACAGAGCTATGCAAAGAGTTCGAGGAAGTAATGAAGAAAAGATTTGAGATGAGTTCGCTGGGTGAAATGACAATGTTTCTAGGGCTAGAAGTTCGACAGGATTCGGCCGTAATTTTACTACATCAAGGCAAATATGTGGAAGACATGCTAGAAAAGTTTGGGTTTAAAGATTCAAAAATTTCCTCCACTCCAACGGCAGAAAGACCACTGTTGATGCCATATCCAGAAGGAGAATCCGTAGATCAAACTGAATATCGATCGATGATCGGATCTTTGATGTATCGGACTGCCAGCAGACCTAACATCATGTTTTCCATCTGTCAATGTGCTCGTTATCAGGCTAATCCTAAACTTTCCCATTTAAATGTTGTTAAAAGGATTTTTAGGTACCTTAAAGGTAGCCCTAAATTGGGTATTTGGTATCCTAAAAATCTCGAATTTGATTTATATGCTTTTGCTGACAGCAAGTATGGATGTTGTGATTTTGACAGGAAATCTACATCGGGTGGATGTCAGTTCTTGGGGGACCGATAGGTGTCATGGCAATGTAAGAAATAGCAAACAGTGTCGACCTCGACGGCTGAGGCTGAATATGTTGCCGCCTCATCCTGCTGCTCTCAGGTTATCTGGATTCAATACCAATTGTTGGATTACGGTTTGAATTTTCTTGACACCTCCATTTTTTGTGATAATGATGTGGCCATTCAAATTGCTAAAAATCCTGTTCAACATTCAAAAACCAATCACATCGACATTAAAGTTCATTTTATTCAAAACTGTTATGAGCATAAGCTCATTCGTTTGGAGCAAATACACACCAATAACAATGTGTCGGATTTGTTCACCAAACCCTTCAGTAAGGCTCGTTTCGATGTGCTTGTGGGTTTTCTGAAAATGATTCGTTTCAAAGACTATTTTTTTGTGTGTTGTTTAAATTTGCGCATTTATTTTATTTCCTTTCTTCCCCATGCACAAATTTAGGGGGAGAAATCAAAAACAAAAAAAAATATAAAATCAAAAAAAAAATTATAAAATCAAAAAATTCCAGAAATATGTCTTTTTTCGTAAGTGTTCTTGGGAAGTGATATGAAGTTTAGTGTTAAAGGGCAATATAAAATACGTGTAATGCACTGAAGCTGAATTGGTTAGACTCTGTGTTCAATGTACTAGCAGGCACGAATGATTCAAAATGAAAGGACTAGACACCGTTGACAATGAAAGGACTTGACAGTGTTAACTCATCTGGACTTAGATAGTTACATTTGGACTGACCATACGACGCTTGTATATATTGAGCAGTGAGATAAGCAAGGGAGCCTGCAAGATACATTAAAGTTACTTATCATCTAGAACTGTGGCTCAATACTTCTTCAACGTACGAACTTCTGTCCTTAATTCTTGTGCTAATCGGGTGACTGGGGGGTTCTGATAAAGTAGGTCTATATGAAATTGTTTTTCTTTCTTATCCTCTATGTCAATCATATGTTTTCCCCTTTGGGTGATTGGAAGAGATCCGACCTGGGATGTAACATATACATCTCTCTATCTATTTATGTCAGTCATATGCTGTCCCCTATGTGTGATTGGAAGAGATCCGACCTGGGACACAACATATGCACCTTTCTATCTCTCTATCCCTCTATCCATGTTAGTCATATGTTGTCCTTCTGGGTGATTGGAAGAGATCCGACATGGGATACAACATATGGATCTCTATATATCCATCTTCTCTCTCAAATACTTGAACACTCACCTAAAGTAAAGAGCTCTTTGGAATTCCTTGATTGCTAGGGTATGTCGTGAAGTGGGGAACACGTTCTAGTGCACTTAAAATTGAATTGATTCCTGACTAAAGGTTGACTGTAGATCTCGCTGCTGAATTTAAGTGGACAACAATATCCTTGGTCGTCATCAGCAAAATGATCTATTTAGGAATATAATCGCAATGACTTGTCACTTATAATCTGTCCCACTTGAAAATATCCTTTGTGTTTAAGTGGACCACAATATTGGTGATTGATCAAAGTTATCCATGAAGGCATGTACTGATAAACGATATTAAATTGCTTGACAACTTTTGATCCCAAAAGTTTTGAATTTAGTTATTAAAATGTGTTTGTTTTATTTTATTTTATTTTACTTTTGTTTCTAAAATTTTTATTTTTATTTTTCATTTGATTTGCATTCATTTCAATTTTTAAATTTTAGTTTTATTTTATTTAATTTTTAATCTAAGAAACGAATTGTTTAATGGTTTTTCTCTTGGGGCCCACTGAATTTGGTGGCCTAAGGGCCGAGAACCCATTTTAGGGTTTAATAGGGTTTTTTTATTTCAATTTCTTAACCACCGCCGAAATCATTTTTTTCTCCCAAAATCTAAGCGAAAGCCTTTTGCTCACTGTTCATCTGTTCATCTTCATTCTCGGCTCAAATAATCAATTTTTCTTTGATTCTTCAAAATTTTTACTAGGTATGTGGATTTCAAGTAGCATGCTTTAGTTTTTATGTCCTTTCTTGGAGTTTTTGCAGGTGTTCAAAGGGTTTTCAGCGAGCCTAACGATGTTTTTTTGACGAGGGTTTCAAAATTTCGAAACGTCGGGTTTTCGGTTTGACCCGGATCTGACCGAAAACATCCTTCTTTGATCGAAATCTCAAGTTTTGACCAAAATCACTATGTTTTGAGCGAAAACACTTATTTTTGACCGAAGTCAACCTTTTTAACCAAACTTTGAATTTTTGAGAAAATAAAATTTTAATTTTAATTTTTATTGTTCTCACTTGGCTCGTTTGGTGCAGATAAATGGCGGATCAACTGAAGTTTGTTGATTCTGACAATATCACTAGATATCTCCTGGATCCACCTGTCGCGCACAATGAATTCAAATCCATGATCGTGGGTTTGAACTATTGCATAATTTCCCACGCACTATGTGTCAATCCAGTCATATGCAAGGACCTGATTAATGATTTCTGGAGGAATGCATCGTTCAACTGTGGAGGAGAGGATGGTGCTGGTGCTATTGAATCCTCTGTGAAAGTAAAGCAAATTATTATTACAGAGCAAGTCATTCGGGAAGTGCTTCAGTTCGGAGATCAGCCTGCTTTCACAGCAGAACTCATTGTTGCCAAGATCACAGAAGTACTAAAGAAGATGAATTACGAAGGAAATTTTCCTCCAACAGTCAAGAAGCTACTTCCCCCTTACTAGAGATTTTTGGCCCATACTTTTGTTAGCTGCATTTCTGGAAGAAAGGGCGGGTCGGACGAGATAAGCCAAATAGCAACATCAACCTTTGTTGCACTAACAATGGACTGGGAGTACAATTTCTCAAAATTTGTTTTTGACGAAATGAGGAGCAACCTTTCTGGGAAAAAGAAGGATATTTTCTTGATGTATCCTTGGTTTTTACAAATGATATTTGATGCCATGCATCCCGAGCTAGAAAGCACCCCCGATACTCTTGATGTCAAGTCCCTAGGTCCAAACACCTTTGGACTCATGAAACAAGTACGAAAAGCGTCAAAGGTTGTTTTCAAGGGAACAAAAGCACTGGTGAAATTTGGAAAATTCACAGAGACAGAAGGTGTTCAAACTGTTGGTACTCCAATTACTATGGTGGTCGAGGAACATGTGGCGCCATCAAAATCAAATCTCAGTTTTTCATTTGAGGTTTCTGATGATGATGATGATGATGATGATGATGATGATGATGATGATGATGGTGATGATAATGATGAGGATGTTCTTGTGTTTGAACCATCAAAGGAGCCAGTCAATGAAGCTGTGATTTCTCCAGCTGAGAGAGAGAGAAAGAAATCAACATTTTCAACTGTGAGGAAGCCCTTATCAAAAAATTACAGTCAACTGTGAGGAAGCCTCCCCATGCAGTTCTTGTTACTACTGAGTCTTCATCTGGGAGTGATAAAGACGATTGAAATGCCTTCCTGACGCCAAGAAAGCGAAGACGTAGAGATCCAAGGCCGGGAGTGGTTATTACCGAGCAAGTACAACTGCCAACTTCAAATGTTGAACCAGCCCAGGTTAATCAAGATGATCAAAGCCCAATTGTTGAACCAGCCCAGGTTAATCAAGATGATCAAAGCCCAACTTTTTACGAAGACTTCTTAGCTAATGAGGAAACTTTTGCCTTGGGAAGCACTTCTGTCCCACCATCTCCAGAGCACGATTCTACATCTGTCAAGCTAGCCAAGCTACTTGCTTTTCAAGACTCTATTCCTTAGTCAAGAGGAAAGGGAATATCTATTGGCTCAGGGCAAGGAGGTGATGAAGACTCTCAACAAACCATTTCTGAGCTCAAAGAAGCGATCGTAATTTTGAAGCAGGAGTCCATTGAGAAAGACTTGCTGATTGGCAATTTGGATGTGAGAGTTTCTGAGCTTGAAAAAGAAAATTCTCAAAAAAGTAAGCACATCTCAGACCTTCAAGCCAATCTTGGCGAGTTGAAAACTCTTTATTTTGATCTCAAAGACAAATTAATTGGAAAATTTGGTGATGTGTTCAAGACTTCAGGTTCTGATGATGGAAAAGCTTCAGAGACATCTGAAAGAGTCGTGGTTTGTCCTGCCCCAGATTCTAACCTTGATCAATTTCTGTCTTCTGGCCCCATCACTGCTGAAGAAAGAAAGGAGAAGTAGAGAAAAGTTGATAAGCTGAGGAAATACAAAATGCTTATGATGAAAAACTCTGATCAGAATGCACCTGGTGATCACCCAAAGATGTTTATTAAAGAAATTGGAAAGAGAAAATTTGCTGACAGATATGGTGATCGTTATGGAATTCTTATGTGGGGATATGAAGCTGATAAGAAGATGTGGATTGTAAATAGAAAGAGCGGAAACATTGAGTACTAGGTGAAGAAGATTGACTTTGTGTCTTGGAAAAAAGTTGATCTTACAGAGCTGGTCCACGCACCGTTCCACAATCCAACAAATAACCCCAAGGCATGGGCGTTTAAGAAGTTCCTAGAAGACAAAGCGAAGAAGAGCTGTGAAGGCTTTAAAACAACGTCATCGTTCGTTAAAAAGGTCAAGGGTGTTATTGATCCACATACCAACAAGACTATGGTGAATGTTATGTGGTCGCCTACAAATAAAGAAAAAAGGATCCCTATCACTCAGCGTGTACCTGATGGCTCTTTGAATGACTTACTATATTCGGTATATGATGAGGCTATAACGAATGTCGTAATCAATATGAAAAAGGATTAGATTCGTCTTGTTGATCCTAGGGATTTGCTGAAATTTGGCGAGCATGACATTTATACTTTATCCAAGCATCAGCTTATGGTGGATAATGAAATGTTTGAAGCTGCTGCAAAGGCTTTCACCGGCATGATAGCGACAATCATTAATAAGAGGCTGTGGGCAGGAGCATTGGTAGATTTTGATGTTCATCTTGTGGAGAAGTCGTAAAGTCAGCCAACAATAAACCAAGGGGGAGATTGTTGGGTCATATTTAGATGGTTTATGATGGGCTTCTATTTTATTATTTTACTTGGGCTAAGTTATGTTTATTGTTAGTGGGCTTATGGTGTTTTGGTTTATGGGGACCAAAATCACATAGTGATTTCGGTCAGCTTGGGTAGGGGCCTGTTAAGGATTTGTACTAGGTTTGTATAAATAGCTTTTCAGCCGTTTAGGAGTTCTAGTGGTTGATCATTACTGTTTTTGGTTGTTAAGAAGTTCTTGGTGTACCAGACGATTTCAACTAATAAGTCGTGTGCATTGAGAGTTATTTGTGTGTTCTTGAATCACTATCTGATTTATATTCCTCATTTTTTAGATAGTTTGACTGATATCATATTAATCTATGTGTTATGGGAATTACACAAGTCATATTATTTGTGAACCTTAACTCCTATGTTAGGTGTTGGATCTTACCAATGACATTTAAACAAAACTATGGTTTTAATTGAGTAACCAGGGTACTTGACTTCTAAAATTTCATCTACCTTACCGTAATAATCACCTCCTTGGCTACTAACACACAATCCACTATTGACTGTTGATTTGTTCAGACCATGAGCTTCTCTGTGAAACTTGTAACCATTGACAAAGTATACACTATATAATTTCACGCTCCTGAATGGCAATTTGGAAAGGTCAAATATATACTTGCTATTTATCCAGATCTTACGTGCCTATATGAAAAATGGTAAAGCACTTAATTATACTTAATTATAACCATAACAAAAAATAATAAAATTAAAAAATATAAAATTAACAGCCACACAGTTTTGAAACCATACTGCAATGTTCTTCTCAACTTCAGCTGCAAGCTCCTGTTCATCCATATCCCTAATAAATTCATTTAAATCTTCTTCAAATATTATGTAATACCATTTAAATAACATTTTGAAAGCTACTATGATGTAATAAACAAAATCATGCATGTAAATGTTATTTAGAGAAATTACACAACAAATGATTATTATAATTAAAAGTGAAGTCTATGTTAATTACCTTTTGTAATGTTTGATCTTATCTTTGTTAAGTAGTATGTAAGTTTGGGCAACATGCACTTCAACATCAACCAACATTCTATTCCTGAATCTTCCATAATGATGACCAGGATATGAAAATATATCTAAAATTTCTATGTTATCATCAGGTTGCTCATCTCATCCTCCATCATCATTTCGAGGCAACTTTCTATTATGTGTGTGGACACCAGTATTGAAATAATGAGAGCAAAATATTGATGCTTCACGAAGCAAGTACGCATTAACAACAGACCCTTCCACTCGAGGTTTATTTTTCACATATTGTTTCAATTGATTTAGATCTCTACAGTAAAGAAGATTTATATTAGCTTACAAAAATAGCAACATACATTTTGATGTAACATACAAACCTTTCAAATGGATACATCCACCGATATTGGACGGGACTGGCTATCTTCGCTTCGTATGACAAATGTACTGGTAAATGTTCCATGGAGTTAAAAATACCATGGACAAAGGTGGTCTCTAATTTACATAGAATTACTGGATCTTGGCTTCAATCATTTCCATGTATTTTGTTGTGATTGATGTTGATGTTAATGTTTTGAAGAAAAGATTCAACTCTGTTAATGCTTCCCACACATGTTTTGGCAACATCTCACGAAATGCAATTGGCATCAATCTTTTCATAAAAACATGACAATCGTGTCTTTTCATTCTGAACAGTCTACACCCTATAAAATCAACACACCTCCCCAAATTAGAAACATAACCATCGGGGAAATGCAATTTCCCAACACATTCGCATATGGCTTTCTTTTGATTCTTGTCTAGAGCATAGTACGCTCTTTCATCATCTTCAACTCCTTTTCTCTTCCTAATATAGAGTTTCAGATCTCTTCTCACTACTACATTGTCCTTCGTCTTCACTTTGACATCCATTATAGTATAAAAAAAGTTCTCAAATACATTTTTCACAATGTGCATAACATCAAAATTATGTCTAATGAGGTTTGTTTTCCAATATGGTAAATCCCAAAATATGTTTTTCTTTTTCCAACCATGATCGCCACATGCTTTGTTTACATCATCAACATTTAGTTCACTCTCTTTTACCAAACCTAATTGTTCAATTTCCCATAAAGTTTGTTCGCCATTCTTACTTGGAGGAGGACCTTCTGTCACTTCACGATTCCTCTTGAACTTATTTTTATCATTTCTATATGGGTGATATACCTGTAGAAATCTTCTATGGCATTTAAACCATGACATCTTATTACCATTCTTTAGTCTGAATGCTTGTGTATGTTTCCCACAATGTAGACATGCTAGCTTACCTGCTATAGACCATCCTGACAACATTGCATATGTTGGAAAATTGCTTATTGTCAACATCAAAGCTGCTCGTAAATGAAAATTTTGTTTTAAAGAGGTATCATATGTTAATACGCCTTCTTCCCATAACTGCTCCAATTCTGCAACAACTGGTTGCAAAAACACATCTATATTATGCTTAGGGTTTGACGGTCCTGGCATAAGTACGGTTAAAAACATGTAAGGCTCTTTCATGCACATAGAAGGTGGAAAATTATATGGTGTTATAATAATAGGCTAAGATGAATATTGTTTTCCAAATGCTCCATGTGGTGCAAACCCATGTGTACTTAGGCCTAATCTAACAGTACGTATTTCTGCTGCAAATGAAGGATGGATTCTGTCAAAGTGCTTCCAAGCTTCTGAATCGGATGGATGACATATTACTCCAGCATCATGTCCATGATCCTCGCAGTGCCAACACATGGAAGCGGATGTGGCTTGTGAAGCATACAGTCTCTTTAACCTTGGAGTCAAAGGAAAATAATGCATTCTCTTAAAGGATACGCGAGAACATCTGGCCAAATTTTTTGACCGTTTGTACCTACCAGCATTGTAGAATTTGCACCGATACATCTCTTTGTCTCCCCTCCAATATAACATACATCTAGACCTGCAGCAGTCAATCATCTCCATACGCAAACCTAGTGCATGTATTAAATTTTCGCTCTTGTATAAACTACCTACCATATTATTCTCCTCCGGTAACACATCATTTATCAATTGATAGATAGTATCATAACTTTGTTCAGGTATGTGATACTCTGATTTTATATTCAATAGTCTAGCTACAACAGACAGTTGTGTGACTTTTTTACATCAGACCACAACTCTATACCGGCTGCCTCTAGCATATCAAAGAATTTCTTATCTAGTGTATATGGCTCCTCCTCATGATTACTAGTAATAAAATTAGGATCCATTTCATCTATGACCATTTCTCTATAAGTACATTCACCTTCATTCAAATTTGTGTTTGAATCATCTACCCCTAAATACGTATTGTCATCATCAATGGATCTTTCGCCATGTTTATCCCAAAACCAATATTCCTTAACAAAAACTGACTTGTACAAATGATGTTGAACAGTATCAGGGTCTCTATATGGTATGTTACGACATTTGATGCATGAGCATTTGATTTTATTTATGTCCATGAACCTTTGTTGACTTGTAGAAAAGTCTATAAATTTTATCACTCCTTGTATGAAAACAAACGTTACACAACCATGATTATCTTTTCTTTCATACTTCCACGTTCTATTGGTACTGTTCATGATGTTAAATATAAAAATGGAAAAGATACCTTTACTACAAATCGTTTCACAAAAATAATGACCGATTGATGAACCAATCTTCAAAGTTTCATCGTTTGTATGGATGAATCACTTTGATGATTTGATAATGGTATAGAATATTTGTAGAATGCTTTAATTGAATTTAAGAATTATACACCACAGTTTCAAAGAAAGAGTGTATGAGGGAACCTTCGACAACCCTTTATTTCGATGTGGTGGATGGATACTAGGTCAAAGTTTTTGGTTGATATTATTCATTATTTGAACGAAAGTATATATATTCTGTTTTATTAACCAAATGGGCCCTCCTTTATAAACCAAAACAAACATCCTGATGCATTTCACATTTGATCAATTGTTACATGTTAGGTTAGATAGTATACATATTTATATTTCCTAACAAACATACAAACTTTATTATACTACTTAATAACAAAAGAACAACCTAAACCAAAATAAAATGGTATACAGTTAATTATAATAATATAATATAAACACAACTATCGAAAGTCATTAAGAC